ATGTTTTTGCATAGTCAATGAAACACGGGTAAACAATGGGTATACCATGCTATACCCATTTGATTCGAGTCCTGGTGCGGCGCTGTGGGTTAATGTGCCAGACTGTAAAGCCGTTTGAACTGCAAGGTCGGCGGTTCAAGCTCACCAGCTGCTCCTCAGAAACCCTATACAGGGTCGCTATGGGTTGGAACCAACTCAACGGCACTTAACAACAACAAGAACATGCCCATTTGATTGGCAATACCAAGTGTTAGAAAGAATATCAATCCACAGAATCTCTTATTCATTGCTGGTGGAGGTATACAATGATTGGTATATCTACTTTGGAAAATAATTTGGTATTATGTAAAGTACACATTCATATACTCTGTAGCCCAGAAATTTAATCAAAAGAAACACCTGCAAGTGTATACGAATTTCTGTAGTCATCCATTGGGAAAATAGAGAAAGGAAAAATAGTATAATTAAAATGGTGCAGCCAATGGAAAACAGCTTGGTAATTACTCAAAAAGTTAAACACAGAACTACCTTATGATTCAGCAATCCCACTCCTAAGTATCTATGCAAAAGAACTGAAAGTTGCAAAGCAAACATATTTGTACACCAGTGTTGCAGCATTATTGACAATGGCCAAAAGGTGGAAACAAACTAACCATCTACCAACAGATGAACGTTGTTGTTGTTAAGTGACATTGAGTCAGTTTCAACTCATAGCAGCCCTGTATAGGGTTTCCGAGGACTGCTGGTGGGTTTGAACCACTGACCTTGCGGTAAGCAATCCAGTGCTTATCCTATAGTGCCACACCAGGACTCCAATAGATGATTGGATAAGTAAAATATGGTACAGACTTACAGTGACAACTCAGCCATAAAGGGAAATGTTACAAAAATGGATAAACCCTGAAAACATTATGCTGAATGAAATAAGTCAGCTGCAAAGGACAAATATTGTATGCTCTTACTTACATGAAATATCTAGAGTAGGTAAATGTACAGAGTTCAAAGTTCATTTGTGGTTACCCGAGAGAGTAAGGGGTATTACTTAAATGGTACAGAGTTTTCATTAAAGATCATAAATTAGTACTGAATAATGGTGAATGTTATATACACAGTGGGGTGAATGTAGTTAATGCCACTGAATTGTACATGTAAAAGTGGTTGATATATTTTGTTGTGTATATTTCACCACAATGATATATATTTTTTAAATTTCCTTCTTGCCCAAATTAGATTTCATCATTTATTTAGTCCTTATCTTTTTATTTTATTTTTTTCTTCTTCTTTTTTTTTTTTTAACTGCTTTCCTGTCACCCAAGTTAACAACTGCCTACATCTGTGCCCTAGCCAATGTGTAAGTCTCCCTTCCCTCCCACCCCTGGTAACCATCATGGAATATTTCTTTTTGCATGAAAACCTTTTCTTGACTTTTTACAATAATGATCTCATATAATATTTGTCCTTTTGTGAATGGCTAATTTCACTCAGTGTAATGCCCTCCAAGTTCATCCGTGTTATGAGGTGTTTTCGCAGATTCTTTGTTCTTTTTTAAGCAGTATAATCACACAATAAACTTTTTTTACAGCAGTCAAAATAAATTCCATAAAAATCACATACTGTATGTAGAGCACTCGTTTTTTTTTATAAAGTTTAAACATGGCTGAAATTAATTTAAAATGTGTTTTTTTTTTTATTGCATGCTGTTGTTGCTAAGTGCTGCCAATTGGTTCAGCTCTTAATGACCCTGCATGGGGTTTCCAGGAGTAGCTGGTAAGTTTCAATCACTGACCTTGTGGTTCCAACCGACCTGATGGTCCAGTGCATTATCCTGCAGTGCCATAAGTAGATGAATTAAAACAAGAAAGAAAGGGGATGGTGACCAGAACTTAGGAGCAGGAAAATTGGAGGATGGGATGGGGGTACAAGAGAAATATCAGTGTGCCCAAGTTTTCTCCAGCCACCAGGCTTCACTTAATTAAACATTTTTGTTGTTAGAATGTGGGACACTGTCAAGAGAAATGGTTCTCATTCCTAGCAGGTAAATCTGACCATACCTGGCTCCTAAAGCAAAAAGTTGTTGTTGTTAAGTATTATCCAGATGACTGTAACTCATAGCAACCCTGTACAGGTTTTCCAAGGAGCAGCTGGTGAGTTCGAACTGCTGACTTTGCAGTTCCAACAGACCTTTTGGTCCAGTGCTTATCTTACAGCACGACGCAATCAAAAAGAGCACATACATATATACATGTTTCACTCTTGATTTCAGAGTCTTCTGTTTGAGAAAGAAATATGAAACCGCTTCAACTTACAAGTATTTGAACTTTGCCTCCATCCTAGCCACACACACCTGGAGAAATGTCAAGAGCAGGGTCTTCAAGTGGGTGGAGATCACACACATACACCCACACACAGAGCACACTGCACATAGGAAAAACACTCCCGGCCCCACCTGCTACTGTCAGGATTGTGGGGGGCAGGCTGGAGGATAGACGTGCCTCATCTAGAAGGTGGATTCAGTTCACAGTGCTGAGACGCATAGGGAGGGGCAGACTACAGAGTTCTCCAGAAGGCAGAACGGAACACAAGGAAGAAGTAATTCTAGCATCCTAAGAAGAGCCTTTATCACCTCACCGCAGTCAACTCGGACTCTTTCTACAGTGACATTTATCCAAAGGCCAACCCAAGCTGGTGCTTCTGGGTATGCCATGAAGTTCTTTCAGTAAGTCTGTTTCTATAAAGTGGGAATGAAGACATTTCCCTGGCCTGTCTCACAAGAGAGTCTGATGAGAGTGCAGTATTATACAAATGTCAGAAATCATTCATTGCAGCCAGGCAAGTCAAGCAATAGTTCTATCCACCTCAGAATCTGGAAAAGTTCCAAAAAACTAAACTTCAGAGCTGGACTGTCCTCTCGTACACACACAGGAAACTTGTTCCCACCCTCTCTGCCCCATCAAACAAGTATCTGTCCCCACAACCTTATCAGTAAGCAGTAAGTATCTTTCCTCAATACCCAGAGAATCTGCACATGTGAGATTACTTTGAAATGCCAACTGTCTACACATAGCCCTTGTATAAAAAAGAAGAAGAAGAAGGAAAGAAAAGAAAAGATGAAGGTGGGACACCTTTGCTGCTCTAATTTAAAAATAAGTAAAATGTATGAAGTCAGGTTTTACGTCTACTTCCTTCTTGTTACAGTGGGACTCTAGACCATAAACATGAACTTGAACCCAACAGGTTAGTAGTACCTGGGCAAATAAATAAGTGGGAAATGCTGGACTCAAGGATGAGTGGGTGTTAGGATACACCTAAAACAGACACAGGTCAGGTGACCTAGGACAAGCTACTGCCCCCATCAAACCTCGCATGTACAACAGGACCATTCGGGAGCCCACCTCATGGTGTGGTTGCAAGGATGGAATAGGTAAAGGTAATGGTCACTTTTTGAAAAATCTATCCAGTTCTCTATTCCCTTGATAACAGTCTCTACTTCAATATTTCATTCTTAGTCTGCAGTGTCAGTACATATGAAAAAAAAAATCCCAAACTTAGTTCAATAATGCAATTTGTATGTTTATTCAGCACTTTAATATTAATGCTTCTCTTGATACATATCTTGGGTTTATGAACTTGAACACATTTCTCAGCACTTGAAGTTGTGTGTGGAAACCTTTTTGGGAATTAGCTCTTATAAAACATTCAAATGTTTAACTTTGGCAACAAGAAAGAGGTTTTGTTATGCTTTCATGACCCTACCACTTAAATAGCCATGACCACTTGGGAACAGCTACTGAGGCTCTTTGCATGATAACTTGAACATTTTGTTTTCACCTAGGAATCCTGGTATGGCTCTGAAGAATCAGCACTGAACTGCTAACCACAAAGTCAGCAGTTCAAACCTACCAGCCACTCCTTGGAAACCCTATACAGGGTCACTATGAATCGGAACTGACTTGACAGCACTTAACAACAGCAAAAATGTCAGTAACCAAATCCTGGTGTGGCACTGTAGGATCAGCACTGGACAATTAACCACAAGGTTAGCAGTTCAAACCTACATTGGAAGCCCTATTCAGGGTTGCTATGAGTAGGAACCAACTCAACAGCACTTCACAACAAAGGTAAAATGAGGTAGAATTCTAATCCATGTTCAAGTTGAGAACAATTGCTCCGAAATCTCAAAACTTAATCCAACCCCAGGAAACATACTCAGGCCACAGTAAAACAGAATAGGATGCCTCCAATATCTTCCCCTTTCAACCAGTCTCAACAGGAAGACAGTGTTAAGTTACTTCACTTGGGCTTCCATTTTCAATCGCATACTGCTTCTGGAATAAGAAAGGAGAACAGCAAGCTGTTTCCTGGTTCTCCACATAATGCCAAGGTGGGCTCCTGTAGGGCAAAACAATATCTGATCCATCTGAGACTTTGTTATGCCCACTTCAAGGCCTGGCAACCAGTATTAAGAAAAGCAGGAAACAAATGGAGAAGCCAACTGGGAGTTTGTTTAAACTGCCAATGTGTTTAGTTCATGAATCCAAGGGTGAGGACTTTGCAGGGCTGACTCTTGACTAGCAAGTACCAAAGTGATACTAGAAGACAGCATCTTTCTGTCACCTACTTTCTGACCTTAAACTCAGCTAGCAAACAAGCAGGGAACTCAGACATCTGGAACCTTTGCTAGAAGCTTCCCAAGCCTCACAACTATCAAGACCAGAGGGGACCGAGTCCAGATCACTCTGTTTCACTCCAAAATCCCCATGTACCCGAATCCCAAGTTTGCTAGAGATCATGTCGAAGGAGGCTTCCTGGCCAGAGTTCAAGATTATACTGAATGAAATAAGTCAGATGCAAAGGATATCTTTGCATCAAAATGTCCTTAATGTTTCTAGGCAAGTGGTGGTGTCCCCCAACCCCAGAGGCCATCCAGAGGCATGACCTCCTGACTGGGGCAGCACCATCACCCTCCAACTTCAAAAGGTCCCTCCCTGGCACTTCCATACCTGTAATAAGACAGGAGACCATTGCTGAGCACGAACCAGCGTCGCTGATAGCCTTTCAGATAGTTTGTCCACTTGAGGAGCCAGCCCTTGTAGCTGTCCAGAGGCAGTAAGATTGCTGGGGCAGTGGAGGTCATGCCAGTCCCTGAAAGTGGCCCCGCTAACGATACTGTTCTGGGCTGTCCCAGTCGAGGAACAAGCTGGGGCTTTAAAGGTAGCTGCGGCCCTGACAAGGGTTTCATCAAGGGCAAGTTTTCCAGCTGTTCTGTTGTCTTGATGAAGGTCCTAGCCCCTCCACCTGGGCCCAGCCCCAGCCTTAGCTGCAGTCCCAGTGCCTTCCCGGACTCCGGCTCAGACACCGGTTCAGACACAGGCTCAGACCTGAGTACAAGCTCAGAAACTGACTCCGACACCTGTTCTGGCACCAGCTCCAGCTCGGACACTGGCTGGGGCTGAGGCTTTAGTTCCTGTCGGGAGCCGGGCGTTGAAGCACTCATGCTCGGCGCCGCCGTGTGGCAGGACAAGCAAGGAACAACCGTGAACAGCGACGAGAGTCCTCGGGAGCGGCCACCGCAGCCGCCGCCTCGGCTTGGAGCGGCCGCTTTCCCCATAGAGCTCCTGACCCGAGCGCGGCCGGCCTGCGCGGGGGAGGGGCGGGGGCGGGGCCGAGCCATCACGTGTGCGGCACCAGCGGGGGCACGCCGGCCCCTCAGCGCACGCGCTGCTGGCTGTTGTCAGCGCTTGGCGCACAGGACTCGGTTCAGACCCTTTCTCTCCCTGGAGTCCCCAACGCCCAGCTCAGGATCTGCCCTAAAGAGGCGCTCTGGAGACACCTGTGGGTAGCGAACGGGAGACGGGAAGAGACAGCGCGTTTCAAGCCACCCTCTCTCTGCCTGAGCCGCAAGCCGTGCCAGGCACTGGGGGAACAATGATGAATGCGGAGCCGGCCGGCTCCCAGCGCAGCTCTGCCTGCCAGGCCCTGCGCCCCCCACCGTGCAGGGAGGGGAGAGAGGACAGATGCCACTCACAAAACCACGGCGTGCGCCCGAAGCACAGGGACCCGCCCCATGGCAGCCATTACCTGTCAATAAGTCTGTCTTAACAGACACCGTGATCCGAAGTTGCGCTTGCCTACTAGACCAGCCGGCCTCTGGTTATTCCGCGTGCTTAGCCACAAGCGGCGACATAGTTCAGTTCAGGTGTGACGCTGTGTGATAAGGCACTGGACTGCAAGATCGGTTTGAGCCACAAGATCAGCGGTTCAAACTCACCAACCGCTCCTTGGAAACCCTATACATACTGGGTCGCTATGAATCAAAACCAACTAGACAGCACTTAACAGCAACAAATTAGTATAAGGGACTTTGGTGACATCTTGGTTAAAGCGCTGAACTGTTAGCTGAACCGCTGAAAGATCAGTGGTTCGAACCCACCAGACACTCCATGAGAGAACCATCAGGCAGTTGCTTTCCTAAACGATTTACAACCTCAGAAATTCTATGGGGCAGTTCTGCTCTGTCCTATAGGGACATTATGAGTCAGAATTGACTGGAGGACCCAACAACAAACTAATATAAAAATTTTTATAAACCAAATATTGAAAATGAGATTCTGAACCTGACGTCCTGGGTTTTCCTGGGAAGACTGTCAGTGAAGGCCTTGTAGTATTTCCTGGGGTTCTATAGTGTGCATTTTCTGGGGAATTCTGTAGTTTCATGTTAGCCCCAAAGGAATCTGTAAGTCTAGAAAAGTTAAACAGTCATTTAAAATAAGCTATCATAAAACGAACAGTGAAAAAGACGCCAAAGAATTGACACATTTGAATTGTATCCAAGAACACTGACTATAACAGAAGAACAAACAAATCAATCTTGGAGAAAGCCAGAATACTCTTCAGAAGCCTGTACAGCATCTTGCTTACTCTGGAGACATCATTCAAGAGGGACCCAGTCACTGGAGAAAACCATCATGCTTGGTAAAGTAGAGGGTCAGTGAAAGAGAGACCCTGAGTGAGATGTATTGGTAGAGTGGTTACAACAAGGGGCTCAAACAGAGCGACTATTTTGTAAGGATTGTGAGGTATGGGCAGTGTTTCATTCTGTTGTATGTAAATTTGCTGTAAATTACAGCCAACTCAATGGCATCTAAAAACAAAACAATCCTAAGACCAAGATTGGTGGTTACAACAAATAATGGGAAATACAAGTTGAGAGGTTGGATATTGGGCTTCTCTTGAGACCCCTCTAGCTTTAGACCTCTGTGTAGCCCACCCCCTGCTTCTGCATGTCTTACCCAGGCATTTCTGTTCCTGCCTGTGACATGATAACCTGTGCTGCGACAGCCTCCTACATGAAGTGATGGTCCAGAACCAAGCACCGGAAAGCCCTGCCATCTTTGCTGGTGACCCTGGGACGCCTTTCTGAGACACTTGTCTCTGAATGCTGGTCTTCAATCGGCTTTGCAATGGGAGACCTGCCCGTCTTGGCCTAATCAATGGTGATCCTCAAACTCAGTGTGCTGAATCACATCAAGGAAATGTAATTGTCCCTGGGGTGAGGGGAAACTGGGGAATGAATGGAGTGCTTCCTTTTCACTTGTACCTTTTTGGACATTTTGAATGTTTTACTGTGTACATGTTTCACCTATTCAAAAAGTAATAATTGAGAACAAACAAGATGGCAGATCGGGTAGACGTATAGCAGAGAGGTCCGCCAACAACACAGAATACCCAACCAAGCAGGCTCAGGGGATGGTCCCAGAACTCTGAACCACACATAAAGGAATACTTACAAGGTTGGAAGGCTCACAGCTGGGGGAATTTGTGGCAGAAGCAAGAAATCTATTGCTTTCTAGTCCGGGACGCTCGGCTGCTCCAGGAGCCGCCATCTTG